ATGGGTCGTGGTTGATGATAGGGAATTTCTCTAAGGATATGCTGCTGACACTTATGTGTCCTCCGAGGATGACCGATTTGTGGGTGCTCGCGAGGATACTCCTCTTTCCTGCGAGCAGCTCGCTTTAGTCTGGGCGCTTGCTTGGGTGACCCAATTCAGTAAGTCGTTATCTCTGCCGACTTGCCTGGTGTACGATTGCCAGGCTGCAGGGTTAGGTGCTTTCGGCCTTGCCAAGGCCCCCTCAGCTTCCCAAGCTGGCGGATCCACTGACCTTTCGTTGTTTGTGTGCTACCTCAGGCAGTTGGCACACTCCCGTACTACCCTGACCCACCGACACGTCAAAGCACACGCCGGATGTGTTGCCAATGAATTATGTGACGAGCTCGCGAAAAGGGCTCGGCGTACGTCGGCAGGTCGCTCCAGGGACATTTTACCCGTGTGGCCCGGTCGCTTGTTCGCCCACCCTCTGAAGTCGTGGGCTTGGCTGCCTTCCAGTGGATCGGCCGATATGCCTTCTCTGTTCTCTTTTGAGTCAGAAGCGGGCCGCCTTCAGGCCATAGATCCGGTTGGAGAGAGTGGACCGGTGCTGGGTCGCAGACAGACACGGTCGAGCAAGGCACCCTGTGAATTTAGCTTTTGCTTCATCACAGCCAATATCCTTACCCTGCTGGACCCAGGTAGGGGAGGATTAGCTCTCGACTCTGCGCCACAGCCGGGTCTGCGCATTGTTGCTAAGCGCGAACTTTTGAAGCAGCAGTTTCTTCAGGAGGGGGCTTTGCTCATTGGCATCCAGGAGACTCGTCTCCAGGAGACTGCTACTTTGCCAGATGGACAGTTTGTGATGCTTCATGCTGCCGCCGACAATCGCGGTCATTATGGGGTGGCTCTATGGGCGAATACCACGATCCCATATGCTCACAGGGGTGAAACACAATGGTTTCTTACTCGCAGCCACTTTACGGTTGTTGAATGTCAGCCCAGGCTTCTGATTGTCTCTATACGAGCCCCCTTTCTGTCATGGGTTGTTGTCGTGGCGCATGCACCGTCAGAGCCGCCAGCCCCCCAGGGCTCGGCAGCTGCGTTCTGGCTTTCTTGCAAAAAGGTGTTAAGTCGCTGCTCGCGGGATGCCGAAGTAATCCTTCTTGCTGATGCGAATGCAAGGGTAGGGGGGCTCGTTTCGGACTCTGTGGGCCCACATGGGGCGGAGGAGGAATCCAAGACAGCCCCAGATTTTCACCAGTTTCTCGCCGAGACCTCCTTACAGCTGCCGTCCACTTTCGCAGGTTGTCACAGCGGTATCTGCCACGCCTGGACCTCCCCTACGGGTCTAAGGCACCGCATTGATTACATCGCTGTGCCGGCTGCTTGGCCCCTGTCATGCATACAGACCCATGTTTGGGACACATTCGAAGCTCTGCAACTTAGGGACGATCATTTTCCCCTGGTGCTGAGGGCCACACTTGCTTGTCGTTCCCAGGACGAAAGCTCGGTTTGCTTCAGCCGTGCGGCCGTGCGTCCCTCCAAAGATGCAGATCCGTCCCTGTACATTGCGGGCATGACTCAGGTTCTGTCTTCACGGCCTGTTGCATGCATGGCATACAGGTGTTGATCCCCATTACGCCCACCTAGCTATGGAGTGGACTCGCTGGGGACGTACCCTTTGTCAACCTGAAGAGCGTAAGCCCCGCCAGTCTTACCTAACTACTGCGACACTACAACTGGTGGCTTGGCGTAAGGCATGGAGATCACAACTCCATGTATGGAAACAATGGCATAGGAGCCGCACTCTTGCAATCTGTTTCCTTCTGTGGCGATCTGAGATCCAGCCTGTGGCTCTTGGCCAGTCAGGGATCTCTGGCCTATGCGCGTGGGCTGACCAGTTCCTCTTGTGCATCGCGCAGGCTGCGCTTCTGATCTACAGGGTAGGGCGGCATATCAAATCTTCGGCTAAGGGTGATCGTGCTGCGTACCTCGCCAAGCTCGCACACGAGGTCACCCTGTCCGACTTGAAGGACCCCAAGCTCCTCTACCAGCGAGTGCGTCGAGCCTTTCCTGCCTCTCGAACCGGCAAGAGATCGCAGTTTTGCCCGTTGCCGGCTGTTTACAATGCCGACGGGGAACTTGCCCATAGTACGACAGAGCGACAAGAGTGCTGGAGACAGCATTTCGCCGCCCAGGAAGCAGGAGATCTTATCGAGGACTCAGCCTATTCTACCGAGCTTCGCCGGCAACGAAGCACTGCCATTGGGCGGGGGTCCGTTTTCGATATCCGGTGCGTTCCAACACTTGCCGATGTCGAACAGACCATTCTCGGGCTTCAGCCCGGCAAAGCCACCGGCAGTGACGGGATCTCCGCTGAACTTCTGCGCGTCCACGCTCCCACCTCTGCGCGACTACTGGCTGCTGTATACGTGAAGTCCGCGCTAACCATATACGAGCCTGTGGAGTTTAGAGGAGGATCTCTGATTCCGCTCGCTAAGCGGGCAGCGGCAGCCTTTTCTATGGACAAGTTTCGGAGTATACTTGTCTCCAGCCTCCCTGGCAAGGTCTTGCACAGGCAGTACCGCACTGCGTTGATTTCTCCTTTGCAGCAGGTGCGAGGTGATTTGCAAGCCGGTGCGCTTCCCGGCATCTCCACTGAGGCCATTATCATGGCGGCCCGCACTTTTCGAGATATCATGGCCCACCGTCGACATGCATGGTCCCTGACCTTTTTCGATGTGAGAGCGGCATATTATAGGGTCCTACGTCAGATCTTGGTTAGGACCGGTGATCAAGAGTGGGCTCTACGTAAACTCTTGCACGAGCTTGGCGTGCCACCGCAGGCCCTGCAGGAACTTGCCCAGAAAATGGATGGCATCGGGATACTTGCAGATGCAGGTGTTCCAGAGCACCTCTGCCATCTATTAGCAGACGCTATGCAGGGTACGTGGTTCCGCATTGATTGTGGTACGGCCCTCACCCTTACACGGAGAGGGGTCAGACCGGGAGATTGTCTCGCCGATGTTCTCTTCTCGTTCACCTTCAGTGCCTACCTTGCCTCGACGGGTGAAGCCTTGCGACGCGCCGGGGTGTGCACGGATATGCCACAGGTTAACGCCCGCTCACCTTGGAAGGCCCCCTCCGTTGACAAGGACTTGTCTTGTGCATCTTGGGCTGATGACTTTGTCCACCTTGCTGCCCAAATCTGCCATAAGACCATCGCTACGAGGGTGGTCCGTGTCGTGGAAATCTTCACAGGTCAGGCGGATTCCATCGGCATGCAGCTCACTTTTGCAACGGACAAAACTGCCACCATGCTCAGCCATATTTCAATGCAGGACGGCCCCGTGCAAGAAGATGCTGATGGGAAATTTCTCACCATCGAGAGCCCTGTGACCGGCGCATGTCACCGTCTCCCGGTGGTCTCCGCTTATAGACACCTGGGGGGTATTGCCACTGTCTCTGGCACCCCTGCGCCAGAGATCGGGTTCCGCCACTCCCTCGCCTTGAAGGTTGTTCGGCCCCTGCGATCTCGCCTTTTTTCGGCCTATGGCATACCGTTCCCTAAACGGTGTCTGTTATTGCGGTCTTTGGTCATGTCTCGGTACATGTTTGGAAGTGCTGCACTTTCGCTTCACACCGCGGTGCACAAGCGCCTATGGGCTAAGCACTTTGTTGCCCTCTGGAGGGTGCTCTGGCGATGCCAGCCCGGTGAGCACAGTCGGCATTCTTATGCAGTGCTTGGTGCTGCCCGCGCTCCAACCCCTCCCTTAGCTCTGGCCCTTGCCAGAGCTGTCCTCTTTCGTCAAATGCTGGCGTCGGGTCCCTCTTCGCTTTTGCATTTGCTCTTTGTGCATTGGATTGAGTCTCCTCGCCATGCTTGGCTCGGCATGTTGCTTGAGGACGTCCAGCATGTTGCCCAGTACCTACCGGAGGTTCGGGTCATTGCGAAGTCCCCGGACTGGTTAGGCACCCTGGTTCATAGGCTCTACGACTCCCCTAATTGGTGGGTTGCTAGGGTCAAGGTTGCTGTACGCTGTGCCGTGGCTGAGATGCAGCCTTGGTGTGACCCGCCGAAGGGCCCGCCTGTGCCTACAGGTACTCCCTATGCTCCGAGTGGGTGTCTTCAGGACCGTGATGGTTTGGCCGCTCCTGCTACGGTCGTGGACTTGCCGTTCTCCTGTCATTGGTGTGACGCCCGGTTCCGGCTCCGGAAACACCTGTTTGTGCATCTCGCCAGGACACATCAGGTCTTCGCACCAGCGCGGCATCTTGCTCATGGGGACACATGTGTCAGTTGCATGCGGTGCTTCCACTCAGTACCCCGTCTTCAGCAACACCTCAAGCGTACAGACTATTGTATGCTTCGCACCTGCCAGCTTGTTCCCTGTTTGTCGGTTGATGAGGTCAAGCTTGCTGAAGCCAATGTGTCGCGGGCCGCTAAGCAGCTTCGTAAAGGGAATTGGGGGGCGTACGTCACCGCCCTTCCAGCCTTGCAGGCCCTTGGGCCTCGCCAACTTACGTCCAGAGAGCGTCTGGAGCTCTCCGACGAGGATCTTGACTTGGGCCTCATCTCTCGCATGTTCTTCCCTGACCCTGTCTTCCAGGCATGGGTCACTGAGTTTGTGTCAGAGCGATCGGTAGAAGGCCCCGGAGTTACCTCGTCGTCTTTTTGGGACGTACGCCCATCTAGCCAGAAGTTTCACCAGAATTCAGCATGCTAGACAGGTCGCGCCGCTTGACGGCTCTGAAGACCCGGAAATGTAAAATGTAACTGCTATAATGTTCCGGACGGAGGACTTGGTGGAGGAATCTACGGGGAAAAGGGGATTGTACCGTGTTCAAGAGCGACATACTGAGTGCGACGAACTTTCGTCCTGCCGCAGTAGAGAAATAATTCTGGCCGAAGAAATGGTCTTGGTGCTTTGGTGCTCATGCCAAGTTAAAACAGGAAATAACGATTTCAAACGTTTTCAGCTGGGATTTTTCATTTCGCTGATGTCGGCGAATATTGAAATCTACCACTGGGCGTTGCCCAGCTTAACACTAAAGGTATCCTGCACGACCTGAGCCCTTGCGAGATTGCAGAAGACGGAATCTCCGGCCGTCGCCTCAAAGAGCAGTGTGTGCATGGAGGATCCGAACCTGAAGGAGCAAAGTCGCATCAACGATTTTTCCGGCCAGCGACACGGAGTCGGAAGGCCTATCAAAGTACAAGTACTCGAGCTCGGCGACAGTTGCATTACCGTTTGTCGGGACAAAGTCTCTTCGGAGTCCTGATGCATACACAGATAGCACAGTGTGAAAGCATGCATCCAGTCTACTTGTAGCTGAGAAAGCTCCTAAATCCGGGACATCTTTTGCGAGCTGCATAAAGATGATGGCGAAGACCTTCCGAAAGTCACAGCGCTCCCCAAGCAAGAGTCAGGACATTGCGAATCATGGCACGTAGATGATGATCGCCAGCAGAGCCAGCGTGAAGAAGACGGATCTGGTTGCAACGACAATGCCTGCACAGCCGTTCAACTCCAGTCAAAACACACTGCCGGTGCCATCCATGGCCTTTAATAAGAAGCATAAGCTCAGGCATCGTGCGCAGAAGCTTCGCCATGCGTGCCGTTCGCAACAACCTGGTGCAGAAGAGCACAGCTGAATGCACCTCAAGACAACTGAGCACAAAGTCCGCCTCAAGATACGTAGAATTCGAAGAATGGTGGCATTCTGGAAAATGCCAACACTAGTGCCATTGATGAAATAAACAACCTCAGGCCACATGGAAGTCTGCGGAGGATTTCGGAAGCACGCGCACCTACTCGCGAATCCGATCGAGGCTGCGACATACACACCCCAAGTCTCCACAATCATCAATGCCTCAAAGAAGAAGCCCAAACGTCTGTGACCGACTTGGACTGCTTTCCCAACTGAACATGATTGAAATCCGAGATACAACGAGGAATGCATCGAAAACAAACCATGGGTCTCGAATGCACTTCCTGCACATGTCAGATGCTGCTGGAAACGTTATGATCGCTGCGCGTCTGGGCTCCTTTTGTGCTTCAGGGCCAGGAAACGAAGGAGCAGCTCCATCCTGGCGCCCAGGACTCAGCGTGGCAGAAAATGACTACCAGATCGGCTGCTTGGGCTCCCTGCGTGAAGAGGATGCAAAAAAGATTCTCAGCAACCTGGGAATTGCTGAGAATCCGAGATCTCTCCGGCTCACTGGGCTTGGGCTAGGGGCCTGGAAGATGGGCTCCGCTTCTGGCAATAATGTGGCACGGTTCAGATCCGCATCAACAGACATCCTTAGCTCCCACGAGCTGTATGCAGCACGGATGTCACTTGGAAAGGAACCAAAAGACTGCCGCGACGGCTCCAAAGGCAGTTCACCCCGATGAGGACGAGAGTTGCAATCTGCCACATGAAGTCAAAGAGCAACAGCAAAAAAAAACTAAGCTGACCACGACGCCCCACCTCGAAAGCTTGACTTCTGGCAATCTTTTGGGCCCAGCCTTTGTTCTTGTAGTGTCGAGCAACGCCTCGGAGCATGGGCAGGCTGACGTGTCGCGCAGCTTTAGGGTTGGGGGCGATCATGATAACTGCTCGGATTTGACTCGTTTGGAGTAGCTGTTTCAAGCTCCCCTTGCCTTTCTTCTTAAATCTAATTCTCTCTGAGGTGCTGTAGTCTTCTTTCTGCAAAGCTTTGCGGACTTCATCCTTGAGGGCCTCCGACAAGCACAGAGACGAGAACAACAGCCCTGGCCAACCGACCGCCCTGTGCCTCGGGACTGCCGAAGACTTTGCCCTCTTGTTCCACCTACAGGGCCAGTAAGAGGGTTGCGGGAGAACTAGAAATCCACAGAACACATGAAGAGCCTGCTGGTCCAATGGGAGATCTTGAAGCGGGACTGGAGGAGAAATTGGAGTACTTGATCCAGTCATATCGGTAACCGACCTTCGCAGGTTTCCCGGATCTATTGGGCTGCACCAGGCTTTAGCAGTGCTGGTGCCTCAAGCGGGATACCTTTTTGGAGTTCCAGTTCTTCAAGCCCTGCAGATCCTGTGGCAAAGACGAGCACCACTCTGCACATTCAATATTCTGCAACGACTCCGTAGACAGAGGCACCTTCTTCTGCTGCTCCTTCTTCTGTCGCAACTCCAGGGTTTGCCTGAGAGGTGAAAAGCTTGCAGAAGGTACCCACCCCCAAAGCTAGCGCTGTCGAATATCTCGCAAAAATGGTCTCCCCTTGTGATTCTCGCCCGCGTTCGTTCCTGCCTTCCTGAAACAAACGTGGAAATCTCGAGAGGTGTGCCGAGCAACTAAGCTGGCTTGCACAAGAACAAACGAACATATAGTCAAAGCAGCAGTCGAAATTTCAAGACCGGTCTGCCACTGCTATGCATGGGATGCGAACGTCCAGTGAATGATTGATTGATTCATTCGTTGACTGCTTGATTGACGGCTTGATTGACTGCTTGATTGACTGCTTGACGGCTTGATTGACTGCTTGATTGACTGATTGACTGCTTGATTGACTGCTTGATTGACTGCTTGATTGCGTGATTGAGTGATTGACTGATTGACTGAGTCAGTGAGTGAGTGAGCGCGCGGGCACGTGTACCCTTGCATTGCAGGCACCGGTAGCCTCGCTGCACTTACGTCGGCACCGCCCTTTGACATGCTACGACTGGGATAGCAGACGCAGCAACACCCTCCGCACAGAAGAAACATGAACATGCACGGGTATAGTGACCAGCAACCAGGACGCCGGAACCACACAGAAGTTCTGAAACCCACACCAAGTGCATAATTGCATCTTGTTGTTGGGGAGAGCCCGGGACAAAGGGAGGAGCAGAGCTTCCTCAATCGATGTCCAGGCATGCATCGTCAGGCTGAGCACGGAGACTATGCGGCACGGCACGCGGCCAGCACTTTCAGTCGTCCGTAAGTTCCGCAAGAGCACAGGCCTGCCACATGCAGTGCCGAGTGCTTCCAACATTAAGTGAAGCGATCTCACACAGGCATTGGCTCCCAATGTCCCAACGTCAACTGCAATCACAGGCTTCAAACCACCGAACCCATGCAAACGGCACAGATCACTCCGAATCCTGTGCATGCGGACTGCTCTGACGTCGTAAGTGCGAACGTCCGGTGAACATGTTTCGAGACATCGGATCGCGCTTTCGCCCTCTTCGCCCTCATGCTGAGGTTCACACTCCGCCATGTCAACGTAGTGGTTGTTCGAACCAGGGGTTCCAGGTCGAACCTTGAATCAAGCCCGCTTCATCCGACGCTTCTACACTGAGCGAACCGGGTGGTTGGCCATTCCTGCAGTTGGAGAGACTTGGAGAGCATTCTCCAGGTCACCAATCTGCACGAGCTAACAGCACGTGCTCAAGCCGCTGGGGTCCTCACAAGATGCTGGCGCCTGAGAGGTGGATGACTTACGACGCTGCTGAGCCCTGCAACCGCATGGCAGGTGCAGAAAGGCTTCGACACGAAGGGCCCACCTGTGCGGTTACTGTAGAAACGTGCCTCGCCGGTCGCATCTGTAAGCTGGCTCGCCGTCCACGCTGCTTCGAGCCGGTAAAACCGTCGCCGAGCGTGCCAGAAAGCTCTGCAGCACCCGGGAGACTTAGCCTCGCATTTACATATGCGGGGCTTACAGTGTGTACAGCTTCAGAGCTGATACCCCATTCAAGGGCGCCACCCGTTCTTGAAGTCTTCGAGCTCTGGCACTGGAATCTGGCTTGCCTGCCGTGCATGTTAATCCTGCGAAGCTCCAAATCAAAGATGTGCCGCGTAAACACCTGCAGCTTGTCACGCATCATAAGGTTCCTCAGCTTCAGATGCCCATTCTGAGTAACTGTTCCCTATGCTGTCAACATAACCGCAACTAGGTGTCTGGTTTTGCACTGCTTCCACTTCAGCAACCACCTGCGACACCTTGGCAATCAAGCATGCATGTAGCCATCAAAGCATGCGCCGAGCAGTCAACCTGACCAACTGCGACAAGATTGAAAGTTGGGGCCGTCACCAGCGTGGACATCCTCGTCATCATGCGCTGCGACACTTCTGCATTCTCGGACAAAAATTTCTGCCTCGATGGAGTTCGCAAGGGAATGCCGCGACAGTGAGCCGGTCTGCTTCTCTCTGGAACTGAGGCTGCCACGCGTCAACAAGGTCCCTGACAGAAGATATTGCCGGGCCTCTTCAGTTCAAGCTCGACGAGACAAGTTGAAGTGGCGAGCTCATCAGAATGCTAGCCACAGTGCAAGTTTGAGATTCGAGATATCGGCCTGCTCGGCTTGATTCACGTGTCAGATTGGCTTGCAAATGGAACTTTTAAGTCCACAGGCTCCATGTCCCTCGGCGGCTTGGCGTTGGTTGAAGATGCGTTTGCAAGTTGTTGCTTGCGTTCTGCCTCAAGCGGGGCATTGTGTTTAGTCAGGGAGGCTGCTCGCTTGCACGAAGCGGCACTGCCATTGTTGGCAAAATCATTGAAATTACACATTGGAGACACAAGATCCGAACGTTCTGCTGCCTGATGGTAGAATGGTTAGAAGCAACCGAGCAAACTGGAAAAACACGGCCTACCGCAGCTCTGCAGGGCATCTGGACACTCTTGCGTTAGCAATGTTCGTACCTATGCTGATGAGCTCCAAAAGAGGCTGCTTTGCAGCACCCTTCGCCACTACAAGAACGACAGAATTCTGCGACGCTGTGTTGAAGTTATGTGGGTTCTGGGTACTCCCTGATGAAACCTGGCTGACACTCTGTGACAGCAGGTTCATTCATCACTGCGTCGCCTTCGTTCTTCATTCCATTGAAAAAGAACAAAAGACTCACAGCATATTATACCTCTTATAGTTAGTTAATAGTTGTAAGAAGAATACCAATACGAATTAGATGTATGATTTTATAATGGATGATCTCCTGTAAAATATGAACTAAAAAATAGGTGATAAAAGCCCTAATGAAATAGCTGGTTCGTTTCCCTTCTTTCTTTGTTTCATTCGTGTTAATTAATCACGCTTCCACTCCGTTCCATTGTATTAATTAAACGAAGGGAAACAAGAAAGGGGAAAATGAACCACTCCTCCTATAATAAGATTGTAACTCCTATAATATAATCACTCCTATAATATTGTAATGGCATTCCAGGTGTAAAGATTACAACTAAATGTAAAAGAATCAGGAACAACAATAGAAATGAAAGGAATGGAAGGTTAGTCTAATATTAGTTGCAAAATTCTCTAAAGGTAAAATGAATTAAAATTAAACAAGACTTGACTTCCAAAATTCCAAAAAATATGAAATGAAAAGTGTGCTGGTTTCGTTCGGATTTGGCTTTCTTTCAATGAAATCATGCTTTCGTTCCTTCATTATATTTCATTGAATTAAAGCAAAGGAAAAGGGAAGAAAAGGGCGGTGTGGATTAAAGGACAAGGAACCAAAAACCAAGGAAAAGATGCCACAAGCCAAGGAATAAAGGGTAAAGTAGGTGTAATGTCTATAAGATTGGAATTCCTGGTAATCGAGGGTGAGTCTTCTTTGCTTTTAATTGGCATCTCCCGAAGACAAGGAAAGTTAGCACCTGGATCTCGAAGGCATTCCATTCGTTCCTTATTTTCTCCTTTGTGTTCCCCTCTTTGTTCCCTTTACAATGAAGTGAGAGAAAAGAACTTAAGCGTGAAAGTGAACAAAGGGGAACAAAAAAGGACGAAAATGACCCAAATTTCGCATGCCAGGTACGTTTCGTTCATATGCTTCGTTAAATCTAACTAAACAAAGCACGCACTCACTCCGTTCACTTGTCTTTGTTTATTTCAATTTAAACTCATTATTCACTTCACTTAGCACCTGGAAGGGAAACATGAAGGGAACACACGGTTAATTGTCTCTGTCACTTGGTTGTAGCTGGAACGTAATGAACCGTGTGTAACCTCCAAGCCTTTATGATCCAGGTCCTTTGGCATAGGAAATCAGGCTTTATTGGTGGAATCCTTCCTTTTCCCTGGTTCTTTACTTCCCATTGCATCTTTAAGGGCTCCTAATTGCCTTTGTATCTCCAGTTAAAGAGAGATGAAAGGAATGAATGCACGAAAAGGACCAATTTTGATGAAATGAAGATAATGAAAGGGAACAAAAGCATGCTTCATGTAATTAAAAATGTGCCTTTTCCTTTCGTATCTTCTAATAATGAGATCTTAGTTGTAATAACCCTTTCTAAATTAGGTGTCATAAGATATAAAGCGTATCCTCCTACAACTCTACCATTATATCTCTCTTGGTAGGGATACAACTAGATTAGGTGCCATCTTTAATAACTAGGATTTTCTTCACCAGGCATTAACAGGATTTACAAGGGATCACCTGTCAAGGAATTCTGGGTATAATATGGTTCGTGGTTTATTTCGTTCATTCCTTTGTTACGCTTTATTTCAATGGAACGAAGATATGAAGTGAAGCGAGAATAAAGCGTAATAAAGGAAAGAGAACGAGCCACGAACAAGGGTTCATTTCTATAGCTAGTTTTATAGGTAATAATCTTTGTTCTACTTTAAAGTTACATTTCCTTCATTATCTTTGGCTTATTTCAATTACTTTTTGGATCCCATGAAGGGAAAGTGTGCTGAGTTTAACTTAATTCAAATAAACATAAGGAACAGCATTACATTTCTTTCATCTAAT